ACGCGTGGAACGCAGAGGATTGGGGTAGGGTTCTGGAAATTGTCAGGAGGCTGAGGGTTCAATATGGGATTGAAGTTTTGGTTTAACTTTTTTTTATCTTCTTGAGTTCATGAGCGATTGGCCATGTCACATTCTTTAATTGTTTTGGTTTCCTATTATTATTTTCCTTTCCTCTTTCCCTGGAAAGATTCTTTCTAAGCATTTTCGGTTGTGGTGCGGCGGCGGTGCGGAGTTGGCTTCTTATCATATTTATTGTATCAACACCATTCTTTGTAATTGTTTAGTTTAATGGAAGAGTTGCGGAGACGAGCGTTCGGCGGCTGATGTCAACGAGACTGGGAGTTCACTTGAAGGAGCTCTCGGATGCACACGGGTAGATAATGTACACCTACAGTACATTCAAACCCCTCTCACCAAACGGCTTGAGAATCAAGCGGGCCCTTGCAATACAATGTCTCAATAAACCACGACTACCGCCGTAATGCCCGACGCAAGGCTAGGCGAATCGGGGGATTTTTCTCCAGAGTTTCAATCGTCCATCTTCTCCAGTCCTGTCAACAAAGTGCAAGATACATGACCCATAGGGCAGAAAAAGCATTCGGGAGGCCTAGCAAGTTACGAGTGACAATGTGTGATATGAGTGCTATCCGGGGAAAATGTTAGAATTCGTGCACATTCATCACCACAATTATCTACAACAGCTTGCGCCATTCCCTCACCTCTCCTTAACCTTCCTTCCATTTCTTAGTTCTTCGGCATAGCAACCCTCAACTTCATCATCGCTATTCTCTTCGCTACTCATCCTATGATCAGCCTATCCCCATCCTCCCAGATTCCGATTCTCGTTCTTGTAACCTGCTTGTCCTATGGTTCTAACAGAAAGAAAGTAAACTAGAAACAGGATGAACACGGGTGGTGAAATGTTAGACGAGGATATTGTATGAAGGGAATAGATAATCCCACAGGAGAAAAAAAAAACTTCAATCAGAACTAGATAAATCACTTCGCTTCTTCCCCTCACCCTCCTGTATTTGAGCACATATGCATTGGAATTTCTAGTCCCCTCTGAGACTAGGCCCAGACCTCTCCCTCACATGGTTCAGAATGCCCCGACTTATCCCACCGTCGTATACCCGTTGCATAGCCAAAGACCTGATGCCCCATGCAAGCCGAACCTGTCATCATCCAACATCCGCAAACCACATCGTCGTGACCGTATGACGCGGCAACGGGCGGGGGCGGGCGACCCTAATCGTCGGGGATGTTCGCGTCGGGGATGCCATTACCCCCCCTCCCGGGTCCGTTCGAGCTCGCCGCGTCGACATCCGGGTAGCGGAGGAGGGTGCGAACAATCTGCGTTTGCCCCTGCGATGCGGCCATGTACAGTGCTGTCTGGTAGCTGTTCGCTCGCTCATTAACCCTCAGTCTTGGGTCTCGGAGTAGAAGCTTCACCACATCGAGGTATTCGAGGGCGATGGCTATGTGGAGCGGTGCCATGTTGCGCGCGTCCTTGGCGTTTATGAGTGTCTTTGGACTGGATAGGAGGAGTGCTACTATTTCGCTCCACCCGCACTCTACCGCTACATGTAGTGGCGTATCGCCGAACTGGTCGGTCGTGTTCGGGTCTATGTCTGGGTGGGACATTAGCGCTTCCACTACGCTTTCGTTCCCTTCGCCGGCGGCTAGGTAGAGTGCTGTGCGAAGCCATTGGTCTTGCTCGTTTATGTCCAGGTCTTTGTCTGCCATCATCATGCGGACGGCTTCGGTGTAGCCTTGCTTCGCTGCTATCATAATTGGTGTGCGCCCTTGGTCCCCTCGGGTTCTTAGCTTGGCTCCGTTGCGCCAGAGATTGCACACCACGATTTCGGGCTCCTTCTCTATCGCTTCGTGGAGGACTCGGTCCTTCCCGATTATGTCTAGGATGCCACGGCGGAGTAGGCGGAGTACGGATTCGTCATCTTCGCGTTGGGCGAATGTGTAGAGGGCCCGTTGGGCAGCGTCAGGATAATCCCTGTCTACAGCGCTGTCTAGGAGTGTAGTATTGAGGAGGGTGGAGAAGGTGCGGTTGGTCTGGAGTAGGGAGTTTATATCTCTCGGGGGGGCATGCTTGGCTATGTGAACCAAAATTTCCCGTGGTAATGATTCCATTGATATCATTGCAGTTTTGAGGAGGTCAATGGTATAGTAGGCCCGACAGCCGATAGAGAAATATGTTTGAAGGAGGTTTTGCAGCAAAAGGTTTTAGAGGAGGGCCTGAAACGATCAATTGGGGGAAACAACGGATATTAATATGACAACGGTTGGATCGAGGGTATGGACCTTCTGCTGAATTGGTAAGAACCTGCTCACCAGCGAGATGCCGTACTTTAAAAACTACCCCAGAACTACTCCTACTCTACCAAGCTTCGTAAGAATCAACTTATTCTCAAAGAGGACCAGATCCCCCCTCCCCCTCGAGGACGATCTCCACGGCACCATGCTCAGTAGATCCTAAGGCTTGTTTCTGACGCAATCGAATAGTTTCACCTCAGCTATTCCGCTAAACAGGTTTTACCTCTGCCGGGCGGACAAAGTCCGGTTTACGATGGGGAAACCGTGAGGGCTGGCCATGACGATTGCGTCGATCCAGGTTGTGTTCGTTGGTAAGTCGAGCATGGGCGCAGGGTAGGACAAAGAGCAGCGCCCATACTTGGTGATACTAGAGCTCCAAGTTACATATGGTGAGGTGAAGTGGGAAGCTTCGCTGGGGGCGAACATACCGTAGTGCTGTAATTTGCTGGTTGGTATGTGGTGGGATGCTGTGGTACATACATTTTTGGCTGGCTAAATTGGTCTGTTGGACTGTGGGCGAGACTGGCTGTGTGACATTTATATATTCGATCTTGGAGCAGAATGGGTAACGGCAGGTTTATTGCACTTGTGATCCTCCTAGAGTTGTATGAGAGCTGCACTAACGTACTCTTGGGTCTGAAATTTCGGGGGGCCGGGGAGCATTTTTTTTCCCTCAGTTGTACCGGTTCTGTATGGAGTAACTTGCATTCAGTGCATATCTATGCACAATATCGTAATAAGCGACGTAGGTGCCGTACTATGCTCGTTGTCAGTCTCGTCTGCCCTGGTATAATAACTCAACCTTTCCAATAACATTCGCTGATAAACAGGGCTTGTGCAAGTCCGCACAAGGACGCATATTGAGGCATTGTGCAAGCCATGGTGGCCATCCTCATGCACCTAAGAACCTGTCCAAGGCGCAAACATGTTGGGGGTATGGTGTTGGTTCTGGGGCGGACAATGATCCCCCAATACGCCTGCAAACGGGCTGGGGTTGCACGAGCCCATGTTGTACTGCTGCGCTGTACTGTACTATCGTAAAACCTCTTGAAATCCACTATCTCCGTAATGAGATCCAACACTTGTTGAGAGCTGACCTTATACTGTGTTAGGAAAACTCTAATCCTTCTTAGGAGCTCTAGACTCAGAATCCGCAGGGCTGACGGTGGTGCAGCAGTCAAATACCCCAGCATAACATGTCGACCACCTGTCAATTCCCGCTGCTGTGACTCCCCAGATCACCACCCCTGGCGATCCAAACCTGACCGCATGCGTCCTAAGACCAATGATCCCTTATCTTTTCCCAACCCACTTTCCTCTCACCTCTCGCACTCATGTTATAGACCCACGATAACCCTGGCCTATGAAATGATGGAAGACTACGGAACCCCGGACAGCAATTCTGGACCCTTTGACCCCTTCGCCATAGGTCCTCAGGGCCTGGGAATCACTTAACGCCGATGTATGTCTAGGACCTCCGCGGCATCAGTGTAATGTGATTAAGCATTCGGTAGACTTGGAGGAGCACGCACATGTGCGCAGCCTAACCCCGATGACCGGAGAGAACGGGGGCTCTGCATTGCAGGGCGGGCCCCAGTGCCGGAATCACCGTGGCGTAGATCTTTTTTGCCATTCCCAACCGCGTTGTAAATCTTAGAATACCGGTAGTGGACCGCACTCGTGGACTATAGCCAGCGCGGATGCTATCAGTCGAAGCGCAAGGCATGCGGGGGAAAAATTACTACAACCTTAAAAAACATTGGGTCCGAAACACCAGGGCTGACCAGTACTCGAGCAATGGTTGAACAAGTAATGTCGCGGTGGGTCGGGTGCGGGAAGATCTGTGACTCGCGCTCTTCCCCCAGGGCCTGCTGCATGCAGGTGCCCAAGAATCCGGAATACTCGAGCACAGTGGGCCAAAGTTTTGCGCGCATGATAAACCTCCCGAAAGTTCGCAGATAGATTCTTGATTCAATGAGAATAATCCCCGATCTAGACTACCATGGTCCAAGTTCCTACCCAGCTGGACAATCCCAAGACGACCGAGAACCGACGGGTGCTAGCAGCCCCCAGCTCAAACGACCAAGGTGAAACCGACAACTGATTGCGTCGAACACATCCATTACCCCGCTCAATTGCAGCAGGACCGTCATAGATGGTACGCCTTCTATGCAGCCGTTCCCAGTCCTATCTTCCGCTCGCTGGTCATGCGGAAACAAGCGGACATCCGGAACGATAGTAAAGATGTCCCCCCCACCAAATGATTAGAAATTACCGTCGATGCCCGAAGTGAGGGGTGGGTAGGTGGGTTGGTGGGGTCTTGCTAGGGGTCATTAGCATCAAGTTGCTCGACTGGATGCATTTTCGTTGATGCGGGTGATGAGTTTCCGGGATCGTGATAGCGCTAATGAGGTGTGGAGATCGGGAGAGAAGCCTGGGATGATGTGGGATTTGTTCCTAAATCGGGTTGGACACGGGAAGGGGATGGGACGTGGTGGAGCTGAGATAATGATGATCTTAGCCCTCGGGTGCTGGTACAGGTGAGACCGAGGTGGTGAGATGGTGAGATAACACTGAGATTCGAGTGAGGAAGGGTGATGGCGCCCCAGTGCATAAAGGAGAGTTAGAAGTATGATAAAGATATCCGAATCCATGGCAGCCATGAAGAGAAAGGAATACGCAATGATACGAACTTCCTGCCGTGAAATATGATAGTTTCCAATTATTATTTACTAAGTGTTCTCACTTCCAACTTCCAGATTCCCCTCTGGGCGAGGCGACACCGCTCTGATAATTATGCGGTGGGGGTCCCAGTATCACTACAATGCGACTGGAAGGGAAACTGACCAAAAGCAAACCAATTCGGTGAACCAGTACCTGCACGAAAATAAGGCGATAACGGAGAAAGAGGATGTAGGATAGTTCAGGTGGGAGTGGGAATGAGCGAGAAACCGTAAAGTCGAGTTCCAAGATTAGGGGTAACGGTTGAGTGGAGTCAGGATGACTTGGGATGAAGCGCTCCATAATAGCTGACGGTACGTGAGAGGGAGAGGGGTAAATCACGCAAAGAAAGGGGAGAGGGCGGATAGAAGATGGGAGCAATCGATGGATTTGTGTCAATACAGTATGAGGAAACTCCAAGGAGCTATACTGCGAGGACTCCCTAAGGCTCACTGCCATAGTATTGAGTTATACGATGTCGCGAATCTACTAGTACGAGTTACTACCGACACTGGGGTGGTAGAGCTTTGTGTCTGTCATCGTGGCTCGTGCACCAAGTAGACTGTTCAGCGCGAGTGAATTGGGGGTTCGTCGGAGTAGACTTCTGACAAAGAAACTATGGTATGATACTCATGACTTGAGGAAAAAGGTTTGGCGCTTTGAAAAACTGCAAAAGAGACCTTGTCTTAAAATATTCCTTGCCTAACCGCTTTTGTAACTCGCCCAGAGCCGCAAAAATTCTATTCCAACAACAACCCTTCCACGAACAAAACAACAAAAACAAACCCATTAACACTGATCCACTACCACCACCTTCAATTGAGAAATCAGGAGATGACAAGCTTCAAGAGATCCCTTGCGGACTCTCGTGAGTCCTCGGAACTATTTTCCAAGGTCTTCCTTAGATCTTCGAAGGGAAAATGCACAAAGATTGTTCGAGAGCTCTACCTCCGTCGCGATATCCCCTGTTCGTCAAAACTCTGCACTCGCTGTCTGGCAGACATCAGGGGAGATTCCTACGGGCGCACGAAACCTTTCGTTCTTTCTTCTGATGCGCCGGTTAATGATACTATCAAGGTGCCCCACTACATCGTCCCCGACACAAACGTATTCCTATATTGCATGGACGCTTTGGAGCACGCGGCGATTACGGACGTCATTGTTCTTCAAACGGTGCTGGATGAGGTACGAGCGAGATCGCTGCCGTTATATAATCGCTTGAGGGCACTGGTGGCGTCGGGGGAGAAGAGATTTTACCTTTTTCACAACGAGTTTAGATCTGAGACTTATGTGCGACGAGAGCCGGGAGAGACAGTCAATGATCGGAATGACCGTGCGATCAGGCGCGGAGTGCAGTGGTATCATGAGCATTTGAAGGAGGTTACCTGGGATACTGGAAAGAGCATTACCGTTGTCATGGTTAGTAATGATGGGGGAAATCTTGAGAAAGGAATGAGGGAGGGAATAACCTGTTGCAATAGTAAGCATTCTGTGTTGAAAATTGGGGAGAGAGACTAATGGGAAATAGTCAAGGATTATGTCTCTGGTATGAAGAACTCGAACGAGCTTCTAGACATGATTAGTGCTGCGCTAGAGGATGAGAATGCTAAGGTTGCTAAGGGCGACATGCTTTATCCAGAGGTGAGCATTCCATCATGAAGGTTACGATGATTCACTAACAAGAATAGTACTACTCCATGTCCAAGATGATGACTGGCGTCGGGGCCGGTACTCTTCACCAGGGGAAGTTCAACATTAGTCCTTACAACTTCCTCGAAGGCTCCATACATGTGCCATCGTTTGACAGACCACTCCTAATACTGGGCCGTGAGAACATCAATCGTTCTGTCCACGGGGACCAAGTTGTTGTTCGCGTCTTGCCCAAGGACCAGTGGAAACAGCCATCTAGCAAGATCATTGAGGAAGAAACCATGACCAAAAATGACAACCCGGAGGTTGGGCAATTCGAAACCATTGAGACAGAGCAGGAACGCAGGGCACTCATCGATGAGGCAAAGGTGTCACAAGGTGCCATCGGTGAAGGAAAATCCCAGCCAACCGCGCGGGTTGTTGGCGTTATCAAGCGGAATTGGAGGTACTACGTTGGGCATCTAGATCCTTCGTCCGCACCTTCTGCAGGCGGGAGATCTCAGAGAAATGTATTCCTTATTCCCATGGACAAGAAGATTCCAAAGATCCGACTTAGGACAAGGCAAGCGTCTGAGTTGTTTGGCAAGAGGATTGTGGTATCTATCGATGCTTGGGACAGAAATTCCAGGTACCCCACCGGTCATTTCGTCAGGTCGCTGGGGGAGGTGGAGACTAAAGAGGCGGAAATTGAAGCTTTATTATTGGAGTGGGATGTTCAGTATCGACCGTTTCCAAAGGCGGTGTTGGATTGTTTGCCAAAAGAGGGGCACGAGTGGAGAGTTCCGCAAGACCCGGAAGATCCCAGACTGCACCAGAGGGTGGACTACCGTGGGCTTTTGGTTTGCAGTATTGACCCGCCGGGCTGTCAAGACATCGATGATGCCCTTCACGCAAGCCGCATGCCAAATGGAAACTACGAGGTCGGTGTACACATTGCAGATGTCACACATTTCGTCAAACCCAACACCGCCATGGACGATGAAGCCTCAGTGAGAGGAACCACCGTCTACCTTGTTGACAAACGTGTCGACATGTTGCCAATGCTCCTCGGCACAGATCTTTGCTCGCTAAAGCCGCATGTTGAGAGATTCGCTTTCTCCGTCATCTGGGAGATGACGGAAAATGGCGACGTTGTCGACAGCAGATTCTCCAAATCGATGATCAAGTCTCGCGAGGCATTTAGCTATGAACAGGCACAGTTACGAATCGACGACAAGAGTCAGAATGACGAACTCACACAGGGGATGAGGACCCTGCTCATGCTTTCCAAGAAGCTGCGGCAGAAGCGTATGGCCGCCGGTGCTTTGAACCTGGCTAGTCCGGAGGTTAAGATTGAATCCGAATCAGAGACTTCAGACCCTATCGACGTCAAGACGAAGGAGATGCTCGAGACCAATTCTTTGGTCGAGGAGTTTATGCTGTTGGCGAACATAAGTGTCGCGGGGAAGATTTATGAAGCTTTCCCGCAAACCGCTATGCTAAGGTTTGTCACCCCCCCTTCCACACTCCTCTTCTGTATGCACTTGTACCCGATCAAAGCTAACAAACAACCCAGACGTCATGGCGCCCCACCAGCCTCCAACTTTGAAGAGCTCCAAAACCAGTTAAGGGTAACCCGAGGCCTAACCCTACACATAGACAGCTCCAAAGCGCTCGCGGACTCACTCGACCGATGCGTCGATCCTTCCAATCCCTTCTTCAACACGCTCGTGCGCATCCTGGCGACGCGGTGCATGCTCTCGGCCGAATACTTCTGTTCCGGCACCCAGGGCTACCCCGAATTCCGGCACTACGGCCTCGCGAGTGAGATCTACACCCACTTCACATCCCCCATACGCCGGTACGCGGACGTCGTTGCGCACCGCCAACTCGCGGCTGCGATCGGCTACGAGCCATTACACCCGACGCTGCACTCCATGGCGAAGCTGGAGGGCGTATGCGGTAACATCAACAATCGGCATCGAAACGCGCAGATGGCCGGGAGGGGTAGCGTCGAGTACTATGTTGGACAGGCGCTGCGCGGGAAGGTTATGGAGGAGGAGGGCTATCTGATGAGGATCTTCTCGAATGGGTTTGTCGTGTTTGTGCCTAGGTTTGGGGTCGAAGGCTTGATCCGTGTGAGGGATTTGACGCCCCTCGAGCCAAAATCTGGGTTTGATGCTGAGAATTACACGCTCACAGTTGAGGGGTCGATTGGGAGTTGGTCTGTGGGATTGTTTGATCGGGTTGTGGTTAAGGTTATGGACGATGTGGAGGAGCGCACGGGAAAACGGAAGATCAAGATGACGCTCGTAAGTGTTAAGGGTCGGAAGCTTGAGTGAATGAAGCGGTTATAACTACTACAGATTGTTGTTGCTGGTGGTGGTTACAATGCAAAACCTGTTTCTACTAGTACATACCGGTAATCTATAGCCGTAAATTCCGTTACGTCAAGTTAAACCTGTATCTCGAAGAGCCTGACCTTCCCAGCTTCATTCCCGATAGCTACGATTCCCGTCCCCTTCCCTGCCCAACTTATCGCCGTGACTCTGCCCAGGGGAGTCCCAGACGTGGGCCAATTCTGGTAAACCGCACAACTGGGCAAATGCACTGCAAACATCATTCGTTAACTAACCAGAAAAAAAAAAAAGCCGGGGGGGGGCATAAGAGTACCCATCCTCAAGGCGTCCTTCTTCCCTTTACTCGCCACAGCGAGGACCTGAAGATCGGGCGAGAACTCGATGACGCTAATGGCCGTAACCAATTGCTCAAGTACCCTCACCGGCTTCGGATTCTCCTTCGTTCCACCGACGAGAACATGGCCACTGCCGCCGAAGCTCCTAGTGCGATCGTACACATTTACGATCCCGCTCTGACTGCCAATGGCGATCCACCTGGTCCCACCGTTCTTGAGGACCGTGGTTGCGTGTCCGCCCTCGTCTTTCCAGCGCGCGACTACTTTTTCCGAGAGCACGTCAAATTCCCATACCCCGCCTGCTTTATTCCCGATCGTCAGGCCGTGACTATCACCCCACCAGGATATGTCTGCGACCCGGCCTTCAATCTTTGCGGCGCAGACCCACTGGTATGTCGTTGCATTCAGGATGTTGACGAATCCGCGGCTAGCGGCGAGGGCCATGAATTTTCCGTCTGGGGAGATGCGGAAGGTCTCCATTGACCTCTGCACCTCCGCGTGGCCGTATATCCGGGTTACTTTTTGGATAGTGCCTGTCGAGATGTTCCAGATGTGGAAGTATTTTCGCCTGCCGGCGGCGATTATGCTTGTGCCGGAGGGGTGGAAGTGGGCCGTTGAGATGGGGGTGTTGCGCAGGTGCAGGGATGTAGCGGGGGGGTTTGTGGTACCGTTTATGTGGTGTAGGCGGAGGGTCGAGTCGGGGCCCGAGGAGAGGAGAAGGGGGTGGTGGGGGTGGAAGTGGAGGGTCGATATCATTGACTGGCAACTTGTTAATTGCTTGATACCTAAAGGAGAAGGGGAATGAGAGGTCTACCAAACTACCACCATTACTATTCCCATCCGCCAGCCTCACTATCGTCAACTTCCCCGGCCGCAACCTCCCTGGAACTGTACGTGTCCAATTCGTAGTGCTCCTTAGGATCTCCTCGAGACTAGGCGCAGATCTCAATGCTTCCTGCTCTCCATCTTCTTCCTCCACCCCTACCCCGTCCATCTCTTCATCGCTACTCCCCGCACCTACACCATGCAACCTCGCCTTCTTCCTAACCGAATCACTAACAGCCCAGTCAGGCACGGGATAGATCCTCTCGAACTGCCTGCGCAGCCGCACAGAATACTCCTTCCCGCTGATGAGGTCTTCAGTCTCGGTATCCCGAAGCTTACGTAGCAAGCCCCGATTGGCAAGTGAGATGGTGAGCATTTCGTCATCAGAGTCTTGCCATGCTGGAAGATCTTCCTCTCCTTCCTCTCCTGAAGAGCCATGGCTGGCATCTTGAATATCCCTGGCGGGGATTATAGCGGCACTGGATGGCCCCTCATCGACAAAGAATAACTCATCGTCTTGAAGCGCTTGTAAGTCCGCTCCCGCATCTTCATCTCCGTCTCCATCTCCGACAAGCTCAATCCCTCCTTCGTCGCTGTCGTCAGAATTTCCACTCTCAACTTCATTCAATCCATCTTCGAAGCCTTCCGCGTCGCCAAAGATTAATTTTTCGAGGAACTCCTCTTCGGCATCCTTCTCTTGAACGGGTACTCTATTATTCGTTCTTTCCGAAGGCGCGGGCTCCGCGAGGACTAGGGATGTGGATTTTGAGGGCCTAGCTTTCGAGCGCGATTTTTTGCCCATCTTTGCCGCCTTTGTCAGGGGTGGGAGGATAATTGTAGGTTTGATGATGGTGGTTGTGGCGGGGGGGGAAGTGGTGTTCAAATGAGCTTGTTTTTTCATATATGTACTGAGCAGTTAATCAGATCTGCGCAATCAGTTTGATCTCGTGGGACGATCTGATGATCAGATATGCCGTGCTCACCTGTACCCCTGTAGTATTTTCCATCACAACAGGATTTTCCTTGTTGTCCCTCTGACTTTCAACATTCACAACAGGCTCGAGCGTAGATCGAGGGGATGCTAGTGATACTGTACTGTACACCACGAGACCACCTGATAATATTAGTCGTATATTATCAAAACATCATTAATTGCATTGGTTCGTCGTTATTTAGGCGGACAATATCCTACGGTCCATAGACTACAGAGGTATAGCCCCCTAGGTTAAATTTTTGTATATTTTACTGAGCAGTGGGAGTTCGGCTAGCAGAGGGTCCGGGGGGGGTGAATAGGGTAGTTGATTATACTCAATTAGGTATCACACTCATCATACCGAAATCCTATTTGGGCCTGCGCTAGACAACACAACACAACACAATGCACCTTGCTATGATAGCAAACTATACAAACCTTACGGGCTATACCTCCCTGCATATGATACTCAAGGACTGCTGTAGCAATCCGAAATTGGGTCACGTCAGTACTGAATCTGTGAACAACGCACCTGGTCGGCGAAAATGGCGGGGAAAATTCATTCAGTAGAGGGGAAACGGTAGCTCGATAAAGATCCATTGATGCCTTCTAGTCCATCGGTTCGGATCTCAATCTTCACCTTATACCAACGGAACACAGTTTCGATCGCATTGCAACATATCAAAATGCTACCCCTTAGACGTTTCCCTCCTTCCTTCATGCATTTCGGGTTCACCACGGTGCGTGGGACGATGGGAAATCGCATGTTTGCCTCCACTTTTGTGAGTTATCTGGAGCACGGGCTCTTGCAGTCAGTTTGCTAATATGAGGAGGCAGAGGAGTGGTGATATACCTACGAAGAAATTCGATGCGATACTGGCTACCCAACTGGAGCTCAGGGATGGAGAAGAGCTCAGAGAGAAACCCAGAGAGAACGCCAAAAAAGCGCTCACGGAGGTGCTATCTCGGGAACTTTGCGTTGAGGTGGAGAGGGATAAAACCTTCAAGTTTGTCGGTAATGGTCGTGGCTTCTGCATAGCTTTGGAAATTGCTGGACTCCGAGAGGAGTGCGAGCAAAGGCTTGGCTCGATGGGAAAGGAGATCGCATCGCTGGAGAAGAGGATCGCATCGCAGAAGGAGGAGATCAATACACTTAAAAAGGAAGTGTACGGTTTGAAGATTTTTTCGAAGGGGTACTTCTTGGTGCGAGATCGGTTCGTCAGCAACCATAATCGTCATATTCTTAAGCACTGAAGCGAGTCGGACGACGAAAGCATTGATGAAGTAAATGCTGCAGCGTATTGGAGCGATGTCTGTGTCGACTCTATGCTCTATACGTCGCGGGGGGTGCCAGGATGGCCAGAAAGACAAGACTTCGACACCTTTAAGACACTTCACGGGAAGGAACCAGCATGGCCAGAAGGACAAGACGTCGACACCTTTAAGGCACTTTACGGTGTGGGACCCGAGCTAGTGTCCAAAATCAGTGAGTAATCCATGCTATTCTTGAAGATATTTTGACTAACTTGTTCAGAGCACTCAGAGACTATCAATGTCCTGAATGCTCATGCTGCAGCTGTTTCGTTGAAGTCCAAACGCCCCACTGCAAAATTCCGCGAGACATTTAAGAAGATTGTTGAACTCCTGGAGCGGGGTAGCGGTGATGGAGGATATCCGGATGGATTGGAAGATGCTTATAAATCATTTTGGGAATGTAATAAGCAATAGGTTAGGGTGATAGACTGACGGTTGACTGTGGTGGAGTGCATTTGGGTTTGGAGCGCTGGCTGACCTGTGAGCTTTGCGGGAGTGTTGAGGTACAACTGCATGAAGGGTAGATATCTCTTTCGGTTTTGGCTTTTTATTATAAGTTAGGTGAATTAGAAAACTTTTGAGAGGTGTTGGTCTTGAGTCGGTATGTACGCGACGTCTTGTCCTGGTGGAAGAACCTGACTCCGGGAGTCTCCCTGTTGCCTCAAATTCCAACACCATTGAATGATCAGTCGGGTGATAAAACACATCTGGTGGTTCCGGCTAGACTTGGGGTGATATTGTGCCAAGAATTCTTACTATCTACTAGTCATACTGCGGTGTAGTGTGCACTGAAACTCCAAGTTCATACAGGTAGGTAAATTGATAATTCGAACTAAAATCCAGTTCTCGACTTTTCCCGACAACCTGCCTTTCCACGCCGCTTTTCGGCTGGGGTACTAGCCACCTACTCCGACTGTGTGCTTCCAACCACCTGCATGGTAGGGGGGCTGCAAACTGCCCACTCTTACAACTTTAACTGCTACAGCTTTGGCCTCCGCCTCGACCAAACGCTTCTCCCTCCTCCACCTCCTGCTACTGCTACCTTCACTCCCCGTGACGCCCAATCCTGCACTGGACTTCCAGGGATCTTGTCCGAGGGTCTAGGCCTCAAGCGTACTTTTCATTCCGCGCGGTAAGGTGACATGCGAATCTACGGTCGTGTATCTTCTCATGTCTTTTCTTTTTTTCGATGTATTCTTTGATGCAGACGGGTGGGCCTTCACCGGATGCTGCTGCTGCTGCTGCTGCTGCTGGTTCCCAGGGGAGTAAGTGTACGTCTATGCTTGCCGGGTATGTTCGCGATGGTGGGATTGAGCTTTTGCGGCGGAGGAGGATTTTCGAGTTGGGCCTTTTGGCGGCGGAGTATAGTATATTATCATACAGAGATAATTCCTGAATTCACCCCTTTCGCAGCGCTTCAATAGGAGTGCTTTTTTTAGTTCAGTGATGTGCTCTTCTACTAACTTGATACAAGTCCTGGCTCTGGAGATTGGCCAATCTTCAGCTCGCTTCATCTTTTTTTCCGTTCGCCACTTAATGCTTTCGTTGTCATTGTTTTTCATTGGTGTTTAAAACAACCCACTAGCTCTTCTAAGAAGAGGACTAACCTCAATACTGCCGCCTAGTAGGAACTAGAGGCTTATCATAGGTGGAGAAGGCGAGTAGCGCGGCAGTGAATAATTATCCTAAAATGTGAGTGCTGGGGGTGGGGGGATGCTTGGATTCACAGGTTACGTTTCGTTTTTTTGTTTTTTTGGCTATGGCTACCCAACTGGTCTGTTATTCCTATTGAGCAATATATACTATATACTCTGCCTTTTCGCCTTGGACCTTTTCTGTTCGCAGGGTGCACAATGATGGCGTGAGATTATTGTATCCGCCGTCATAAATGATCACTCAGGAGAAAAGGATATCATAATTATCATAATAATTGTAAGAGTCCGGTATGTACTTTTATCACCCAACACAACTACCTGAACTAAACAGTAAAGACAGGGGTATATATTGATCTCGATAAACACATCCTCCATACTTCCAACAGTCACTAAACATCCACTCTCACTCAGGCTTGTCCTCTTGTCCCCTCTATTCTGCTTTTCCTCTATATACTCCCACGCGACATAGTGGTGGAGGATTTGTCGCCCGGCCGCGGCGCGATGTTGCGCTGGTGGTGGAGTTTGAATTTTGTATATATATATATGTATATTGATAGGGGGTTGCGGGGCCTATCTGCCGGCGGTAGTGCTCGTTGGACGGTTATCGAGGGAGATACATTTCGTTAGGTTCGAGGTTTAGCACAGATGGCACTGGTGAGGTTTGTTTATCATGGTTAGAGATTGCCGGGGGCTTGGCTATCTCTTTCTGGGGTGATAATACTCCTAGCAGAGATATGATATGATACGGAAGGTGCTTTCCTGATGTATGATGTGATACTGTGGGGAGAGGCAGGGCTGTATAGTAGATTGGCTCATCCCTGGTAACATAATCCTGTGGCAGGGGTAGGTACCTTAAGCACGCCTACTAAACGAATAGCGGGACGAGGACCACAGCGACATGATTCATCGAAATAAACTTCATAAGGACGCCTACTGTTGGTGACTGCCGCTGTCATTTTGTCTCCCCCGCTTCAAGTTATAATGGATAAATTATCTGATATGGGCGGATACACTGCTGCCTTCCAAGGATGCACTGTTCCGAAGCGCATTTCTTCAACGTTTATAGGAACAAGGGAAGACTTCACCCGAACAAACAAAACCCCTACCTGAACGAGGGAAACCGCTATCCAACCATGAAACGATATCACAAACCTGTTGTGCATGTCCCCAGCTTATCAGCTGTGTTAAGAGCATGTCCACCAGCCCCCCAATTTCCAACAACTCGCCGGCATCGCTTTTTGGAGACTGTGATGATGTCACATTGGATCTAAATTATAAATATTTTAGCGCAAGAGTTTTCAGGCCACTCCATTCATAGGAAGAAAAAACTGGGAGGAAGAGACGCCCAAAAGATGAGGGCTATGAGGACATGGCCCAAGGAGGAAGGGGCCAAAAACTCCTCCACAGAAACAGAGCTGGACATTGGAAGTCTGTACAAGCAGATCAGAAGACTACGGGAACAACCTGGCTGGGCTGAAGACACAATTTTGACAAACAAGAGAACGATCACGGAGCTGAGACAAATAAATAACAATCAGCGCCACATGATCAAAATGGCAAACCTCACGATGGAATCGGTAACGATACGATACCGCACTGCAGAGGACAAGTTCAACAGGCTTTGGAGGTCCATGAGGATTGCGGGTACGAAATGTTGAAGCTAGGAGAAACAGCCTGATGGTACTCACGCTTAGGAGGGGAGAAGCTAATATCACGAACTTGGCTTAGTAAGAAAACAGTTTTCAGATGACTTATGATTATGAGTACTAGGTACATTGGGGCTTTCATGCAAATGACCATTTTGGGCATATGATTTGTTTATGTTATGATTTGTTATGATTTGTACATGGCTCGTTTATGAGTCATGGGACCTGTACCTGGTAAGTATGCCTTGCAAATATGCCTTGTAGGTATGCCTTGTACATATGATTGATGTTTTCCACATGACCTCGTTATGAGATCATGGGTTTCGTGCAAGTGACCACTTCGGATCATATGATTTGTTTCTTCCGTTATGATTGGTTTATGAGTTTTTACACATAACTTCGCTATAGAGTTATGGGTTTTGCACATGTGACCACTTTGGTCATATGACTAGTTGGATATGTATCATATGGAAAAAAAAAAAAAAAAAAAAAAAAAAAAACAATATTTCAAAGCCAGTAGGTGCCACGTGATTTGAGCCGCATATTTGGTATGCTGTACCGGAAGAGGACCGTAAGAGTTCCAAATGTGGAGCGGAATCACAAAGGCAGAGACCGAATGAGCAAACGTAGAATTGAGATTGATGTATTAATTGATCTCAAAGAAGACAGTTAAGATTAAAGAGAGAAAATGAGGGAAACCAGAAAAGGGGAAAAGTATAGAGGTAGGCTTATGGATAGAGGAGTGACATATGCAGCCACATGGTGTCACTCGTGGTGGAGTTTTTTTAGTGGGAGCAGAAACACAATTCCTAACACCAAGGTGGCCAAGGACGGGTGCGCGTTTGGGATAAAGGCGACTGACGTGAGCTGTAGTTGTAGAGAGGGTCTGACCTTGCGATACGGAGCTGGGGGCGTTGAGCAATTACAACACGGGGCTTCACGAAGTAAAAAAAATCTATTCCCCCATTCCTGGATACAAAAAAAAAGAGAAAAGAAGCCTCGATTGATGAATCTGCACTATCTACCGTATCATGCCCTACCCAGTCACCCATCAAACTCCATGCTTTATCCGCAGGCATCCTTCCCGTCGAGTGATAACTACAAATCCAGATCTCCCTCTCTAGCGCCATACGCACATCCCATAGGGATAGACCACGATAGCTGGCACTTACTCGTCTTGCTTGTGGTAGTTGACCTTGTCGTTCCAGCTGCAAGGCATCAGCACTCACAATCTACCGAGGAAATGGTACGGAAACCTACAAAAGAGTCTGGACAACGTTAGCGACCTATCAACCGTCTAAGAAAGAGGAATAGGGAGTAAATACCTTGTCGCCATTCCCCCAGAAGTAATTCTTAGTCCTGATATTCTGGTACGGGTACTCGGTCCTCTCCTCTAGCGGGGGCATATGCGCCCAGTGCTCCCAATGCTCATTCCAAAGTTTGTACGCATTGATACCCGCGAGGACGACAGCGGGAATAACGAGGCTATTTCCCCATCCCATTAGTCCTCCTCCATCTCTCCGATCCTCTATCCATATGCGAGTTTGCCGAGGGAACATACTAAATAGAAAGCTTCCTCCAAAGCTCTATTAGACAATTAGCCACCGCCAATGTAAAGTGCCCGGGGGAGACATGTAGTACCGCTAGATTGGGCAGCATGCTGCTTCACTGCCTCACGTTCCTTGACAAAGATGCTCTCAGTGCGCTTCGGTGCCGACTCCGTGGCGAGACGGCGAGCTTGTTGTAGGATGCGTGGCTGCGTGCGCGTAGTGCGGGCGAGGATGCGAGCGGACAACATTGTCGTTGTTGCTTTGTGAGCGGAGGTGTGGCGGTTATCGATTGGCGACGAAGTTGGACTTGTTTGAGGATTTGTTTCGGCGGGTGAATGGGATCTAACGATGGAATTCGTTTCAGGGATTGGTGGGTTGATGATTATGTAAGGTGGGTTGGTGTCATACCGGCATATGAGTACTTGTAGTACCGGTATCATAGCCCAGTTCTTGGTTGAATTGCCGGTAATTTATCAGTCTCCCCCGAGGATGAGGGCGACCCTGGCTCTGTGGCTAAGGATAGACTACTGTAAATTATGGATCCATAGTCTACCACTCATAACAGTGTGGGAAGGTAAATTACCAATCCGGTAGCGCACCCTCAGTGGCGAAAAACCTATCCAAAAGGCTGGGAGGAGAGATCTAAAACCCAGAATTTTCATCCCATCATATTTTCTGAAAATCGGTCCACTCAACCTCCTTCTCCCCATACTTAATCTACCTTGCTATTCAAAATGCCCCCACCAATAAACACGGACCAGCTAACCAACCAAATCGATCACCGTGTGTTCCGGATCCGTGAGAATGGAGGCCCCGCAAACGATATCGTGCCGACCGAATCTACCACTAATCAGCGAAGGCGGACGTCCATTGCTTTGGCTCTTGGCGATGCGCACCCCCGCGCAGAACTGGAGGCTTCGAGACGGCAGTTCGTTGATTATGACGGATTGTCGTGGCCGAGTATCTTGTCCGCCGAGATGAGCTTGCGGAGGTTCAGAGTTGGCTAATGGAGAGTTGCAGGTTCGGGCACGAGGGAAAGGTTAGAAGCTACGCCAGCCGAGGCGGAAGCTAGGCTTGAGAAGTTGTCTGGGGCGTGAGTTCCCTATTCCCAGGCTCAAGAGAGCTGTGCACCTGATGCTTGAATGGAGCGTATAGAATTAGGACGATACTAGAATGTATTGGCGAAGACCCCGACCGCGAGGGTCTCCTAGAGACACCCTCCCGATACGCAAAAGCGATGCTATACTTCACGAAAGGTTACGAGGAGAACCTCAAGCTAATCATCAATAACGCCGTTTTCCGGGAAGACCACGACGAAATGGGTTCTTTACAGTTCCTCCCCCCACCTTCCCGTTTCCTCCGAGCTAACACTCAACAGTAATAGTCAAAGACATTGAAATCTACTCCATGTGCGAACACCACCTGGTCCCTTTCACCGGGAAGATGCACATCGGCTACATTCCACGGGGCAAAGTTCTAGGCCTCTCCAAGTTCGCTCGTATAGCGGAGATGTTTGCCCGACGCTTGCAGCTACAAGAGCGCCTAACGAAGCAGGTTGCTGTGGCGATCGAGGAGATTTTGGAACCCCTGGGAGTCGCGGTGGTCATGGAGAGTGCACACTTGTGCATGGTCATGAGGGGCATAGAGAAGACGACGGCTACTACAACCACTAGTTCTATGCTTGGGTGCTTTAGGAAGAGGACTAGGACCAGGGAGGAATTTCTGAGACTGGTACGTGCTTAGTTTGAGTGGAATCGGGTGGTGTGTACCGGCTGACTATGTGTGTTGTGGGTGTGAATAGGCGTTGAATAGTACGAGATAGGTGTTTGGTCATTTCTTTCATTTTTTTCACCTGGTTTTTTCTGTTTACATGGGATTTTGCTAGAGGTGCTGGGTGGGTGTATTGTTGGAAGCTGTCCTCTTGGGATATTTTGGTGGGCAGTGCGTGGCTTGGTTATATTCACTTTAGTTTCGGTAGTCAAAAATACGTGGGCTGGAGGGGCTAGACAATATAAGAGATGTTATATGCTATTGCAGGGGCGTATATACAAGTGGGAAGATCCACCCCTTTTGACCTCAAATGTCCCATAAATTCCCCTCCTCCATCCTTGTTCTCAATGTCGCATATCTGCCATTTTTATCTACTACCCAGCATTCTCGGGTCGAAATTACGAGTGATATCCTGTGAATACCCGGAACTTTTCGCACGATTTCATCCCCTCATCGCCGGGGCGAAGCTCTCAATGGAAGCCTGAGGGTAGTCATCCCAGTACGATGTATAGCCGAGATTCCTCGCAGTGAAGCTCAGCAGTCTGAACGGCACCCCTCTAGCCCTGTAGGCGCTTCGCCAGGGCGTGAGCACAGCCGTTCCCCAGTCCACATATTGACAACTCATGTTCAGGTATATTCTGTCGAGCTCGAGATCCATCAACGTGGCCTTCACCCCCAAGACAATCTGGGTAATCTGGTAGGGGCAGATGATCAGGTTTGTGAGCTTGAACTTGCGCAACGACTTCCACATAACGTTGTATTGCCCCTTCTCATCGACCCAGATAAAGTCTTCCGGCCGCTCTCCGATGAGTAGAAGTCTTGCTGAATCCGCGCCTGCGGCTGGTCCGCAGAGGACATTCGGATGGCCGAGTGGCGAGAGAGCTTTCCAGCTCGCGGCGGTTTGCTTGGTTGAGAACCAGTCGAGGGAGAAGTCCTCCACGTCCGGCGCCGAGGCCAGGAATTTCCGGAAGGCTGTGTAGGCTGTGCTCAGCTGGGCCCTCGCGGTAAGGCTGAAGCTGTGATAGTTGCGGTAGATGTTCAACTTGTCATTGACATCGATCTGCAGGTGTGGGGTTATTCCCAGGGAGAGCTTCTTGACGTGACATAGAGAGCCCGTGAGAACATAGGGTTTCTCCGCCGATAGTTTCTGGAGGATCCACAGCGGGAGGTTATGTAATCCCATGGAGGTTATCTGGCTCTTCCTGCTATCCGTGTAAAGTACTTCCAGGAACTTGAGAGCGAAAGCGCCATAGCCTTGTTGATGGGGTAGGACGTTTTTCCCAAAGTCCAAGCTGATCTTGCTGAGAGATGTGAAGACTGAAGTCGTATCACGCAGGAGGCCAGTGTCAACAGCCTTTATACGTTTGTCAAATTTATGAGAGGGATGTGCGACCAATGAGTCTCCTGCCCTTCAGGGCGTTGCTCCGGCGGCGGCGGCGCCGTCGCCATAGATCCTCACCTCCCTGGCTCCCGGTGAGAACATGCGGGTAGAAAAGTAGATCGAATCTTCCAGCGTTGGAATGTCGGCTGCTCCGCGCGGGAGGTATAGCCTGATGGATCGGAATACAAACCGCTCCGACGCCCGGGCAAACTTTTTGGATACTAGTCTCAAGTTTAGGCTGTCGTCGAAGGATATATACCCCAATATATGGGTGATAAGTTCGATTGGAAGACGGGCTATCGCCGATTTGGGCTCCACGCTAGGGGATGTAGGAATTGGGGGGTTGGTGCAGCTCTCTTTTTTGATGCACGCGTTAAACGACGACTTGCTTTGCGTTTTGTCATGACTTTTTTTTTTTTTTTTTTGCAATTTTTCGCGGAAAAAGCTACTTGAGAAGGCCACTGGCAGCGGGTTGTTGGGTAGGAATTTATATCAGTCAGGGGAGAAAGGGATCGGCCCTGATGATTTACCAGTTCAATTTCAAGGTAACGATAGAACAAAGGGATCAATAACCGAAGGATTTTATTACATGAGAACCTGCCCGCTTGCCAAATTTTCATTACTCAGATATTGATGATAAACTCTGCCAGGTGTTTCTTTGTGCGCATGTCATCGACACCTACAACGCTTCATGTCTCGATACATGTCCACCATTGTTAGCCTGGCTAGCACCAGATATTCTCTGACATGGCCGCCGGGTAGGTGTGTCTTGAATGCGAGAGGCTTTCAAACGGGAAAAGCACCGGTCAATAAAAGGTACAGAGTAAGGGTGGGGGTTTACGTGACCTACCCTTATGAAGCAGAGATATTGGTCGGCTAATGCGAGATTATGCCTACAGGTAGCTCTCGGGATATGGTGTCTCCCAATTCATCGTCCAGCAGGCTAGTCAGTTCTTCGGCTTGCTTTTTGGCCTCCTTGGCTTCCTTGTCTAGCTTTTTCTTTTGAAGTTCGATGCTTTGAAGTTGGTCAGACAAGGCATCCTCAATTTTTTGCTTTTCCACCTTCCGTTTGTTGAGAGCAGTATTGACGGCACACAAGATAGCTTTGATGGCCGTCTGCTTCTCCTCATCACCCAGAATCTCGGCCACTTGCAGTGAGGCATGGATGAATAGAATTAGCTTGTCGGGTGAAACAGGTATTCGATGAACAGCACTGTGGCGAAGGTCGTCGAGACTCTTTAGCAGTAGGGGGAGCTGAGCTGTGCCACCAATCTTGTCGAGCCGAATGGTAGGTGATTTCTGCTCGAATGTTTTTGACAGCTCCTTTGTCCACATGGAAAGTTCTGCCGAGTGAGCACAAGTCCATCGTTTCCGAGCGAGCAGCTCCGGGACGTGGCACTTGGCAAACTTGAAGCAGGCGCCTTCGAGAATGGATTGTAGTGAGGTGGTGATATTGTGTTGGGCGCAGTAGGGAAGACTTGGAGACTGGCTTCTCGTGGCTTCGCTCGAGTTTGGCTCCAAGGGACGGACCTCAACCGGTTCGCTGATGGCGTCAAAGAAATCGGGACTAACACTGTAGCGGAACAACGGGTCAGCGCGCTATCATGCGGGGAGCGATTCATCGGTGGAGAGCAAAAGACCTCTTGGAAGCGGTAGGCATGGGCGGTACGTCCCATCTGTTGTGGGGAGCCGGGGTAGCACTGGGTGTTGCAGAAGGGCTGCTCCCTTTTGCGGGTCCAGCGGTGCCATTCGCAGCCCCGTTCGGGGTGCCTTTCGGAGTCCCGTTCGCAGTCCCATTCCTGTCCTCAGGATCTCTCAAGTCGCGAGCCCGGGCTGCACCTTCCTCATTTAACCTCATTGCGAGTCCCTGGGTGCACAGCTTTGCCAAGACCACCTTTGTCTCCTCATCCGTGAAGGTAGCGAAGCCGTGCTTGAGCCTATCTCGTTGCAACTTTTGTAATAATACTTTCTTTCCAAGAAAGGTACCGTTATCGCCGAAACCGACCTCGTATGAGCGCTTGATTATCCAAGCTTCTAGTTGTGCAAGTGTATGGGGCATTTTTCTTTATTTTTTCTTTATTTTTTTATTACTCCCCCCTTCCGCTTCTTCTTTCCTGTATAGTGTGGTATGAAGGTGTGCGAGGGTATCGTGAGTTGTGATGGAGAGTGATTGTGATTGTGATGGTGTGAGTGTGTGCAAGTGTGCGTGCTTGAAGTGAATTGGAGTAAAGTGAAGGTGGTGGTGGTGAAAGTGGCGAATATGAGAGTATCAAAGGAGGAGGTGAGCAGAGCATTGAGCTTATTAGTAGGTTCAGAGCGAGTTGCGTGCGCTGTCTCTAGGGTTAGAGTTACAGTTAGGATGCGGCGTTGTGTGTGTGTGGGCGTGGGTGCGTGGGTGGATATGTGGGTGTGTGTGTTATTCTTATCATCTGAGTTTGTTGTCGTCTTTTCAATTTCACTCGAGTCGCTGTAGGAGGCAGGAGGGAGAGTTGTACGAGTACTGTAGATGTAGAGCACCTGTATCATATTATCATACTACACACAGTACAGTACTGCACGAGCACGAGCACGAATACGGTTTCAGTGAATCTGGAGCTTCACTCGTTTGTGTTTTTTAGCTTCGTGCACTTTTGTCAATAGAGTAATTATTTAATATCATGATGGTTATTATAATATATTATCATACAGGTGGTGGAGCTGTATGATACCCTTCGTATCATATCCTTATGCATCACACATCCTTTGCATAACAAAGTAGCTGGTTTTAGGCCTACAGTGCCCACGCGCACGGGTACTACCGGTACCACTCTACTACCAGGATAGTCAATGAAGCTTACCTAACTTGAACCTGTCTTTTTACCCTCAATTACCATCCAGCTATAAATTTTCCTCTCCCACGAATCCGATGCTCGCCACTCGCCGTGCTCTTCGCTATTTACGGCTGTCGAAACGGCTCTCGCTTTCAAATCCCCCCTCCCAATTCCGCCATATTCACACCACACTTCAAAACCGTTCGAGGGATGAGGAGGAGGCAGCTCCTTCTCGTCCCTTGTTGTTGCCCCCCCCCGCGATAACGATAAAACCGCCTGTGGAGGAATATGTTCGACAGATACGCGAGCAGTATGGCGACTACCTCCCCGCCGGTCTACTGGAGGAGGGCGAATACAGAATCTACGAGAGATACTATGGCCGTCCAATCCGACTGCTGCAGCCGGGCGAGACGCTCCACCATTTTCCACCTCCAAAGACGCCCGCGGAGGAGGCCTTATACGCACAGGTTATCCAGCGAATCGCCCACCCCCAAGGGGTAGGGATGGAAGAAGGAGAAGAAGGGGAAGGGGGAGGAGGAGGGGGAGGAGGAGGTGAGGACCTTCGTGCCAATGGTTCTCCACCATTCTTTCGGACACACCCGCTCACTTACGCCGGTCGATTCGAGTCGTCTCAGATTCGACTTCCGCCATCGGTAAGGGACGGGACAGAGTCTGTGATCGTGGATGTCGCCGCCTCGCATCTAGCGGAATCGGCGCATAAGACTCTCGGCGGTCCACACCTCCAATTCTCGCCCGTATACTCGAGGAAGCGGAGTAAGCACATGTTGACTATTCCCTTGAACCCGATTAACAGTCGCATGTCAAGTATGGATGCCGACGTGTTTCTCACTGCCGTGATGCCGGGGCTGTATGCGCAGTGCTTGAGTTCGTTGACCGAGCTGCGGAAACGGTTGGGCGGCGATTGGGTGCTTGGCGGGGATGGGGAACCGGGTGTTAGGAATGTGCTTGATGTGGGGGGTGGGGGCGCTGGGGTACTTGCTTGGCGGAGTGTTATCGAAGTGGAAGAGGAGGTAAGGAAGGATAGGCTTTCCGGAAGAGCCGGGAAGCCGCCACCTGGTTCGGATGGGGGGGCTCTGCCTGCGGCGGGGGAGAGGAGTGGGATGCGAGCTGTTGTTGTCGCCGGGTCCATCGCTCTTCGGGGGAAGGTTTCGAGGCTCTTGGACGATACTCTGTTTATTCCCCGAATGCCGGATATCCATTTCGAAAACCTAAACCACACACCGGGTGGCCTGGTGGAGAAGAATAAGGCCCAGCCGAGAAAACTCTACGATCTGATCATTGCCACAAACAATCTCCTCCCGATAGTGAAGTCGTTTTACCGCCGCCAAGCCATTGAACAACTCTGGTCGCATCTAAATCCGAACGGCGGCGTCCTTTTGATGATCGAAAGAGGCACGCCAATGGGCTTCGAGGCCATCGCCTACGCCCGCTCCGTTATTCTAGAGGACTACATCAAGGACGTTGGCGGAGCCTTTCAATCCCTCCCGACCACGAATGCCCCCGGTTCCGCCAGCCCCCCTGTCGAAAAGGGACCCGGCGCTATAATCGCCCCGTGCACGAACCACGAGCAATGCCCCATGTTCGTCTCTGGCCCTACGGATGGCACCCAACGCAAAGATTATTGCCGCTTCTCACAGCGCTATGAGCGCCCCGGCTATCTGCAGAAACTCATGGAGGAGTCATCCAAAAACCACGAGGACCTCGAGTACTCATACGTCGCCTTCCGTCGTGGTGTCGACCACCGCACCGACACGAAGAACAAGATCAGCCCAACAATAGACGACTTTGACATAATCCCCGTCGACGGCGAACCCCACACGACAGTTCAAAGCCCATATACAGTGTCACAACTCCGTAATTACAGTCTAACCCTCCCGCGCATCATCCTCCCACCCATCAAACGCGACGGGCACGTCATACTCGACGTGTGCACTCCGACAGGCTTCATCGAACGCTGGATTGTCCCTAAGAGCGTCGGAAAATTGGAGTTTAGAGACGCGAGGAAGAGCGGATGGGGTGATCTCTGGGCCCTTGGAGCGAAAAGTCGCACAAGGCGGAACATAAAGATTGGCGGTGGCGACAAGAGATTTAGGTCAAAGTTAGTTGCCATCAAGGACCCTCATAGCGATAGAGTGAGGGCTATTGTCAAGGACAAGACGACCGCCTTCTTGAAGGCTCGGAAGAAGGAGACAAGGGAGGCGAGGAGGGCCGCAAGGCTTCAGAAGAAGCTAGAGGCTAGGATGAGGCAAGACGAAATGGTTCGTCAGCAAAAGGAGGAGAAGGAAAGGAAGCAGCGTGAGAAGTTAATGGCGGAGAAGGGGGCCAGGGAGGTGCACGAAGGGGTTGTTCAGATGCATGGGGAGAGGAAGGGAAAGAAACGGCTGGAGAAGCAAATGCGGGAAAGGGAGTAGGAGGCGACGAAGGGGGGGTGCAATCGCAGTTTTGCGTAATGTAACCGTACTTTCAGGCCGCCGGTGGGTGGTGTGTATATATGAGGCTTCCCGACTTTTGTAAATTATATTTCTAGCTCCGAAAAAGCGTTATACATAACAGCCATTGATGGTGGTTCATGAGTTGGTGCGTCATTCGAAAGGTCGAGTGATTGTTGGTGAAAGGATACCACGCCCCCCCACCATTCCCGAATCCGCCAATCTCTTCCATCGCCCGTCCAGCAGTTGTGAGGGTGGGGGGACGTGTATCGGTGTATTTGTGGTATACTCGTGTGCAGGCAAGTGCTGTCGGTGGCGGGGTTGGCAGGAGATGGCATGATATCTTGAGAAATTTTCTGCTAGGGGGTGTGGTGGCATATCAACGTGGCATTCTCTATTGGAGGATTCTGTCGTATACCGTTGGATGGGCTTTCCATACATTCCTGCCTTAGGCCAATCCGCTTTTCACCCTCCGCCCGGCCGAGCCGGCGCGGTGTCCTTCAAGGCGGGGCGTGGGCTCGGAGAACGGGTGTTTGTCTATCGAGTGATGTTTTGTGGTCTTACTGATTATAGTTATCAATACATCCACATATACCAGGAGCTTCTGAGCGATTGCTTGCCTGCAGGCAAGTGATCCGGACCCACCACTAGGTGGGCCCGGTACGGGGAGCACTGTCTGTCTGTTCGCTTCACTTGTGCGGTTCGAATGCTTTACCTGGTTGTGCGCTCTGAGTACGAGAAATGGGCGGGCAAGCTAGTCTGTCTATTCACGAAGGGCGCAATGAACTATCACAAACCAATCCCGGATTCTTCTACTCTTTTGTCCCTTTCTCACGGAGGTTCTTTCCAGTGAGCTTCGCCCGGTCTCGTCTCGTCCGCCATTGCGTGGTTATTTACAGCGGATGGCTTAATCCGCACCCTTGTCTATCATCGCAATACGGCATTGGCTCTGGCGAAACTATATCGTGTCGTTCCGAGGGAGAAAAAAAAATCCCTTCATTCTACTTTCCCTTCGTCCACTCCGATTCACTGGCAGATGAAACCGTACCGCGCGCTCGGGCTCTTTGGTCCCTATTTTCTCAACCGGCGAGGGCGTCGTTAGTATGGGGGTTGGAAGGCTCCTTTGGCTTGTTTGTCGTGAGTAGGGAGGGCGCTGTCATTGCTGAGTAGCCTTTCAGCGGGGCCTGCGGGGGTGCTTCTTTCCGATCGGTCTTGCGAGGGGTGGTATTGCTATTGGGCGGTGTTGGCCATTCGGCGGCGTTGATGAAATTTCTATCGGGGGTTCTGTGGCCTCTGGATACGTGGTGTCGTATATCTTCTGGCGGTTTCTCTGCTGCTAAGTATGATATCGCACTATTCGTGGGGACCTGTCATTAAGTCTTTACATAGTTGCTCACTATGGTCTTAGGAATCCTTGCGCTATCGTACACCACTTTCCTTCTATCTGAACAACACTCTATATGTTTATCTATCGTACAGGGGGAGAAAGGTAACGCGTGGGCAAGAATGCACGGCTGGAGAAAATAAAATATGATAGGATGAAAACCGCAAGGTATAATAAACTAGACTTTTTTGCCACAGCGACTAGTTCCAAACTCTACAGTACTCAGGGGGCAAACCCACGCCCGACTATAAAAGCAAATCTCCAGGGGGGCTCGCATCAGCACGGTGACATAAGCGCATTCCGGGCTCGTCTCATGGGATCTCCTTCGACTGGAAGGGGTGATGCCTAAGGACGACTTTCGTGGGTAGGGTACCCCGGAAAAGAAGGAACGGTGATGCCTTCGATGAGGTCCTGTTTTATAAGCCTTAAATCGCGCTAGGGGTTAATGCTTTGTGGGACTGTAGCAGCGCTACCACCTTCTGATGGCCGTGCCTAGATGCGAACGAGAGAGGTGTTTGACCGTCATTGTTTGGCCTGTCGGGGCTGACATCTTCCCCGCCGAGTAGTACCTTCACCACCTCCGCATGCCCATCCCAAGCAGCGAGCGAGAGCGGTGTTTGGCCGCAATCATCTGGCCTGTCAGGGTTGACCTCTTCCCTCATGAGTAACATTTTCACCACTTCTTCATGTCCATGAAAGGCAGCATGAGAGAGAGGTGATTGGCCGTGGCTGTCTGGCTTGTCGGGATTGACCTCTTCCCGCATGAGTAGCATTCTCACCACCTCTTCATATCCGGACCAGACGGCATGCGAGAGCGGTGTTCGGCAATAGATATCTGGCTTGTCAGGGTTGACTTCTTCCCGCCCGAGAAAGATTTTCACTACTCCCTCATGTCCAGAACCAGCGGCATGCGAGAGTGGCGTTCGGCCGAGATTGTCTGGCTTGTCGGGGTTGACCTCTTCCCGCTCGAGTAATAATTTCGCAACTCCCTCATACCCCCTCCAAGCAGCATTCGAGAGCGGTGTTTGGCCGTCATTATCTGGCTCGTTGGGATTAACATCCTCCCGCCCGAGCAGTATTCTCACCACTTCCTCATGTCCAAACCAAGCAGCGAGCGAGAGCGGTGTTTGGCCGTCATTGTCCGGCTTGTCGGGGTTGACCTCTTCCCGCCCGAGCAGTATTTTCACCACTTCCTCATGTCCACAGGCAGTAGCATGTGAGAGCGGTGTCTAGGCCTTCTCCGTTCGTTATATTACTATACCATCCTACTGATCTCAGCATGGCCTAACTTAGCCAAGAACCCCTCTGAAACCACCAGGAGTAACCTCTAGCAATGTCAGCCACAATCTCTTAATGTCCAGACCCTTACCGAGACCGGTTGTCGCATTGGATGACTGCACCTTTGTTCTGGAGTTCCATCTTTTAAACAGCTTTCCCGAGAGCTGCATACGCCACATCAAACGTCGTAGTCCTCCTTGTCCATTCACCTGGATGCACAAGCGGATAGCCGAACAGGGGACATTCATTGGATCGGCTGGTAGTGTTTCCAAGGCATTTGGCTTTCCTGGTTGGCCGGGCAGTGGGTGAAGCTACCATACTTCTGAATTCACATTTCGCCTAACGGCCTCCTGGCCATTGGATATCCCCCCAGGACGGAAAGAACGGCTTCTGGATGGCCAGGATTAAGGTATGGTTTCCCAGTCCGCCACACAGATTTATGGAGATCATATTAAATTCCTCAATCAGCAAACTACCTTGATTCACATATCTGATCACAAAGAATTATTGTTCAGGGCTCGGATACCATACCTCTCTATCAAAGAAGCAATGTACAAGAGAGGTGGGGTTGGAGGACGGATGCTGTAACAGAACCCACATTTCCCAGCTCACCCTGTTTCATTAATTCCTTTGTTCGGAACTTCTCCGACAGTAAAAAAAAATTCGCGGATCTTTTCGCCAGGAATCTTGGGAACCTAAGGGCTCTCTCTTCCTGCCCTGGGGGAAATCTTATTGTGTCATAATATTATTATGTGTGATAATATTATGACATTTTCAAGATACCGGTAATACTATTCTCGGGCCCTAGTAGGGTTGAGTTGTACGTGACGGCTTCTTGGCGTCACTCTATTTTTTGGGTCTTGGCATTTCCCCTCGTGACAGGAGGCCCACTAGGGGGATCCATCCTTTCCTCCTTCTTTCCTCCGCCGACAACCGTCAAGCTCCACCGACAACCGTCAAGTTCCACCGACAACCGTCAAGTTCGACAGAAACATTCGGCCTTTCTACTTGCACCTCTCCACTCACGTCGTTTCTTTTTTTCTGCCACTATGACTGCTTTGTCCATGCTCAATATGGCCGTTGAAGCCGGGCCTCTTATTCACCAACGTTATGATGGGATCGGTCTCGCCGAGTATATTCCCTTGCTCGCCAATGGAACTTTTTTCTTTGATGGGTCGGATGGAGCCCCGCTCCAGGTCCGTCATCTCCTTCCAGCAGACTGGAAGCCCGTCAATGGACCACTTACGGTCTTGTTCGATTCCGCCCCCCATACCATTATTGGGACTCACTTCTCTATCCACAATCATCCCATTTACAAGCTTAACGATGGTTCTATCTTTGTTGTCTTGGACCTGGCCACCAAGCACGGTTTTGAGTTTACCAATCAATCTTTCATGGACCCCCAGCTTGAGGTCTCCGGGGAAAACCGTTTCTTGCGTCTCGTTACCAATGACCAAGACTTCGCCTACCATGGCTCTAGTCTTAGCATGATTCATGACAAGGGCGTTAAGCGCCCTGCCAATGCGTAAGTACAATTCTACCAATGTACCAGTTTCGTGTGCTCATATAGTCATAGGTTTATCTTGTTCAGAACGGACAAAATGAAGCCCCTCAAGGCTCAGTACCCGGAGATGGGCAACAACGATATCTGTACGTGGCTCTCATTTTCCCTTTATTTAGATCTCTATTCTTGCTACCATTTGCCTAACGTTTTAATAGCCAAGATTCTCGGTCGCATGTGGCAGAATTCCTCGGATGAGGTCAAAAATGTTTATAAGGTAAAACATCTCACCTAACTGTTAGTTAGAATCACTAACACATTAATAGGCAAGGGCCCATCAGCTTGCGGTTTCCCACAAGTTGATCAACCCGGATTACAAATACTCCCCGCGCCGCTCTCGCGAAATCATGAGGAGGGGCTCCGGGAATAAAGGTCCTTCGGCCCGTATCGACCTTCATCGTGCTGGTGTTGCGAAGCGTGGAAAAAAGAGGATCATTACCCACCTTGGGTTCCTCACTCAACGTTTCGCGACTCACCCCACTGCTAACAATCTCGGTGATATCATCGAGGAAGCCGAAAAGGTCTTGAAGGCCTTTGGTATGGTCAATTGAGTGATCTCTACGGAGGGACTCATCGGTACCTGGGTGGTATACTTTTAATGGGAGGGATGATCTTGTCTATCAAAGGTCATTCATTATCTCAGTCGACTAAATTTATGACCTAAATAGATAAAAAATATCTTTTAAAACCAAAATGAGGGGTCCGAACACTACATCATACAGTAAATATCAAGTTGTGAAGCGGAAGAGAGCCGACTATGGGAAGAGGCAGTAAGAATTTAATTCTGACTAAGTCTGGAAAGTTTACACAGCACTTGCACAGAAGTTATGCTATGGTGGTGCCATCACCGGAAAAACACGCCAAAAATTCGGGACCTATGGTGCCGTGACTTAGTTTGAGCGCAAGTACATGGTTCGACACAAAAGAGTGTTACGGAGTAGGGGTGTTGGGGTTGATTTTGGCCATTAGCGTTATCGTATAGATTGTTTGAAAACACGACTCGTATTGCTTAACAAGAATATGGAGAGAGCTATTTTTTTAATTTTTTTTAATTTTGATAGATGTATTGGACTGGAGGCCAAGCATCTGATCAATTGGTTATACTATACTCCTATTTGTTCATAGTTGACTGAGGCCCTGTTTGGCTACAACGGTTCCTTTCTGTTTCCCCATACAAAGCGACCGTTGCAGAACGGGAGGGCAATAGCTTTTATATGAGAAACGGTTCCAAAATGAAACGGAACCGAGGAAATTGTGATCTAGTTTCTTGGATGTGCCGCTGCTACTGAAATTTTTGTTATAAAGGTATCCGTTTTATATCTGACTCCCTTCACACAGACCCCAATGGCGCGAATCCCCGGAGTACTTTGCTCATGAAAGTCGTCCTGTCGTCCTTGGGCATCACCCCTTCCAGTCGAAGGAGATCCCATGAGACGAGCCCGGAATGCACTTATATGTCACCATATGGACATGAACCTCCGTTGAGATTTGCTTTTACAGTCGGGCGTTGTTTTATTTCCCGAGTACTTTAGAGTTTGGAACCAGTTCTATTGCTTTGACAAAGTCTAGTTTATTATACCTTGCAGTTTTCATCTTATCACATTTTATTTTCTCTAGCCGTACATTCTTGCCCTCGCGTTTTTTTCTCTTGCACAACTGATAGACATATAAGTGTTCTTCAGATAGAAGGAAATGGCGTACGATAGCGCAAGGATTCCTAAGACCATTGTGAGAAACTATGTAAAGACTTCTGACAGGTCCCCACGAATAGTGCAATATCATACTTAGCAGCAGAGAAACCATCAAGAAGGTAGACTACAGCACATAGTCAGAGGCCACGGAACTCCTGAGACATAAGGGTAGGGATAACCACCGTACACGAGAAGAACAATTAGAATAAAACAGAGCCATTTTATAACAAATACTACATGACAAAGGGCTACCAGAATATATTGATGCGCAGAGGCCCATGAGAGAGAGCATAGGATCCCTATTTCGGTACCCGTAGTTTAAGAGGGTGAAACATGCCCTAGATATTAGTATATTTTCTAGGGAACTGCTCTTATATGATATGAAAAATATACTTGTCCTCTGGCGTATGTCACATCCACCCTGCAAGCTTAACCTCTTTGGGTGCTCATCATAGGCAAGGCCCACTAGTTTCAGGAGCCAGTCAGATATTATACAATAGAATCTATAGATCGGAGGTCCTACCGATTTGGATGTGATTCGGGTAAGTCTGGGACATTCTGTTAAGATTATACCCACTACCGAAGCCGGAAAGAGTCCAGATGGCTGGCCAATATCCGAAGGGGCATAGGCCAAAGCTATCAGGTGCTCTGGCACAGTTGCACATGCTCAGGCAATCAAACTTTGAAGATACCGTAAAAACCCTTGCCGTTCACTACCCCACCGGGTTGTTAATTTCCTAATCTCCGCCGTATTCAGACATAAGCGCTTAAGCAGAAATAGTGCTTTCCTGACACGGTACAGCCTAAGCCCTGTGGAATTGTTGGTTCTCATGAACTAGTTTTCGCAACCCTGTTAACATGTCGGACGCATGTCGTGCGCTGATGCGGCGAACTACAGGGATATTGGAGACCTACGGAGATATCGAGTGGAAAGGATTTTTACAGTATTGGTACATGGCTGTTAGACTCTCTTGCCCTCCCTCCTTTTGCTACGCACGATGAAGAATAGAACAATACCGGTAGGTCAGATCAGACGACGACTCTGCTTGGAATAGAGAGATAGAGAAATAGCATGGCTCGGGCCCCTGCGCCCGTCAGCCACCCGGACCGGGCCAGGGTTGAGATTTGAAAGAAGATTTCACTGGGTCAGCCCGGCAGCACTGGTACCCAGAGCCGCGGATGTGCCAGCCTGGGGTTACTCATTCGGCGCTCGAACTTCCCCCAATAACCCCTCCCTTACGGCGTCTCGCCCAAGACTAGTGGCATAGGGCCAAAATACTCTGTATCATATGATATCATACGATATCGTTGTCCAATGCAAAAAGACCGCAAACCCAAACCTAATTGAAGGTTGTGATACCACTACAAAAGTCCGAGGCTCAATATTCCCACCCAATCCCATGTCAACCCCCCACAAAAAATTCTCCTCTCAGCGCCCACTCCAGTGTACCAAATTCAACGATATCTTCCACACAATACACCCCCGCCTTCCTTCCTAAAATGCCCCCAAGTATCCCCCCAACTAAAAAAAACCGAATTCAATGGCGATGGCTAACTTGGAATTGTAAAACGAAGATATCATGATCCGCCGCGAGGTGATGTTCCGGGCTGGAATGATGCTTGTCAATGAAATGGAAGCCACTGCCTGGAACCCTGGCAACCTTATGGTTGGGATTGCCATCCATAAGAATCCAAGCGTTCGTATGGTTAAAGCGGTTGAGTCGGCCAAGGACTTGCTCCGTGAAGTCGCTGTGAGCGACCATAAACTGCGCAAAATGGATCGCATCAATGATCTTCAGCCACTGGCGAATATCCATAATACACTTTTACAGCTTGGAGGATTAATCTCTTTGAAACAACATTTCTACGAGGAACTTCAAGGTATCAAATTACGCCTTCAGGAACTGCAGAGACACATGACAGACAACATTGGCCAGGCCGTTGCAGAAGTTCATGACTTCATCTGTTTCGTCACTTTTGTCAACTTGATCCACCCGCAAAACTGCGTATTAACCTCCAAATCCATCAAGGATGCGGAGATTCTCGCCTCTAAGAACTCATCCCCCGAGGCACTCCAGGCGTTTGTTGAACTCCGTCAGGTTTACGATCTGCAGACTCCCGTTCCAGGGTACCGTCTAAGCAAAGCCAGGGAGCTACCTGCAATCACTAGGTGCGCAATGGAGCAATGGCACAAAGGTTACTTTTCTCATGCAGCCGCAACTGGAATAGTAAGTAAAAAAACATCTCTTCCATCTCAGCACTCGTACCTAATAAGCGCCATCCCACTTGATACTAATATCAACCCACAGCAAGTTATCCCATTCCAGATCATATTCGGATGGTGGAGTGAGTTCAATTTCCTCATTTCAATTTGATGGTGTTATTAGCTGACATCAAGAGATGTTGTCTTATAGTTAATTATCAACGCAAGTTTGTTAGTAGCTCTCAAGAGAAAATCACTCCGATTGTGCAAGAACTTATCAACTGCGCATATACCTCGGAGGCCAGTGAGCCAAAAGATAAGGACGAGAAACTATGGATGCAAGAAGATAAGGAGGCTTTTAAGGCTGTTACTAACCTAGCTATGTCTATGACTGAATTGTGCAAAAATATCCCTCTACCCGAGCATGTCAAACCGAACCCTCAGAAAGAGAAGCAGTTGCCGATTTACACCCAGTTCAAAGTCGAGCCTCATGTTCCTCCGATCTTCCAAGAATTCCAGAAGCTGGTGGCTCAAATTTACGGACTTTTTGAAGAAAACTCGTGCTCAACTTTCACTATCATGACCAAAGCGTATTATCCAAAAGTGGAGAACTACCTTAGGTTCTCTGAAAAAGACCAGACAACATCTTCTGTGAAGCACTTGAGGTAAGCTATCTTTTAAGGTTCCAGGTTTCTTTTGCACTAAAGCTAATTTTCAACAGCGCCGCGACCTACTTTTTCAGTTCGCTCCGTGAGGTCCCAGTTGTGGTTCTCATCAATAAGAATGTAGGGGGTGTCGTGCCACGCAAGGCTGAGGTTCCACTCCTTGATGCTGTTAGCTTGGCCGGAGTGGATCCCACTATTGCCGATGAAGAGCTCTTGGCGGAGATTACTTGCAAGAATTTGCCACAAGTTGGCATGCACTGTAAGTTTTTCATTATGGTACTACTGGTTTCGGATATGTTCTGATCTCTGAACGTAACACAGTCCTTGTCAGGTATCGCGGACAATCTCACCAGTGCCCGCGCAACTAAATTCTACTATCTCTGGTGGCGTTTGATCGCAGCGCTCTATCAGCGAAAAGATGACAAATTTCGCTATCCGGGTAGTCTTTAGATAGTTCCATTCAAAATCAAACTCTTGTATCACAAGATTTGCCATATCTCCATCCACACTTTCATTGTAAATTTATATCAAAAAAAAAAAGACCCCATCCAGCCCCCTGGAAGAACAGAGGAAGGAGGGGACTGGTTGAGGGCATTTTTCTTCCCTTATCACCAGGTACATGGTGAACCTCCCAGTGAGGTTGGGGAGTTTTTATTTTACAAAGGGATCTAATTCGGGATCATGGCTTCAGGCCCATTCGGGGTAGCGATTGATAATTTAGAGGAGTATGTTATTGTCCATTGGTTCCACTTTGGGGAGGATAGGAGTTTCTTTTATTATTTGGGTTTTCTAGGCCATCTTTCCGGGTTCTTACCGCGCTTTTTCCCGCAGTTTGCGAATAAATTCAAAGACCCAAAGAAAACAAAGTGATTTAGACCCCATCAAAAAGGGCACCTAGCTCTGGGAATGTAATTAGAGCTCGATTCTGTCCACCATATTAACCTGACACCGGCATCGAGCAGCATTTATAATGGCTTCAATCTTCAATCTTTCTGGTCTCGAAACTTTTTGGAGGAAAGTAGAAGACAGAAGCGGACTACCACTTTCCACCTAAGACCCTATCTATAGAGGTAACTGTAATAACCCCCCGGGGGGCGTGGAGCGCCCGGCCCAAATTGAATTCAGAGTGTGCCGTGTGCCTTCTCATTATCGGAAAGATACCAACGGGGAGATATCTGCCTTTGCGCATAGAATCATATGATATCACTCGCTCAGAAGAGTGGGAGGGCCGCTCTTGTGAATGCGGAAGCACAGCCCGAGCCACCAACCATCCTGTCACCACCCCACCCCTCAGCAAAAATCACAGCAAATCTCCCGGCAAACCTGCATGCCTCCACGTCCTATGAGATTAAAAGGACCTATAATGGGGCTTGTCGTCCTCGCCATCCTTCAGCAGTGCTTCCGGTCAAAATCCTCGAAAGCCTAGGATGGACAGAAATTCGCAGCAACCGCCGTCCTCGCTGGGCCAAGCCCCGAACATCTATTTAGAGGGGACGGTAGTGCATCTGCGTATCCTGCAGACGGGGGACCGTAACGGCCACTAGCTATTGAAGAAGATCCGTCCCGGAGGTACAGGCTAGGTATGTTCTCGTCGGGCAGGCTTGACTATGGAAAGATTCTACTTTGTCGCCCCAGGTATGTCACCCCGGGCATGTCACACCGCACCCCATATTACTGCTTCTGAGTGTTCCCGAGGGTAATGGGGAGACGGGAAATTGCTTCAGACAAGGTGTGGAGGGGCGGCTGATCCAGGGTGAAGGCTGGGGATAGACTTTCAGTTCTGGCTAGCACCGCGCGCCTAGTGGACATAAAATAGCTAAATTTTTTTATCGAAGCTGTGCTTCTCTCGATGAGCTATCATAAAAGCTGAAGAAATGCAGCTCCAATCCGGCCGCTGGAGCAAGCTACAGAACAGCACCCCTCTTCCAGATCCACCAGATCTGGCTGACCGAGCTCCCACTGATATCTTGTCAATTCAGAGTATCCTAAATATATGGACTCCTGCCACCAGGTAGACCTCCCAACCTAGTGATAAGTTGCTAGATCTTTTGCGCACGCACCGCACTCGAACCATACCCTCAAAGGGGCACCAGAACAGAACCAGACCCGAAAGTTCAGGCAGTTACGACGAACGATCAGAAAGGACACGTACAAGCCGACTACTCGCCTAACGCCCCGATTCCAGGTAGTTCAGAGGGCGTACTACTATTATCACCACACTATCCAGAACACACCCGAACGTGAGGAAATCCAATACTCGGCAAAAGTCTTGATGGAAGGGGGGCTTTCTCCTGCCCGGTGGAACGGACCCCTCCCTTCACACAGACCCCAATGGCTCGAACCCCCCCCCTTAGGCCGCTACTCGGATAGGGACATGAGCGACAGAGTGGCCAGGGACCGGAGGCATCAGAGTTTCTCGCTTGTTCTTGCGATCTCCACTCCAAATCATTCTCATTTCCAGTCAGGGCCTCCAGAATCCCTGGCTTTCGGATCATTCAGGTCCATACCTGATCAATCCCCATTGAAGAGAGACACGACTGCACGCACGTACCGTGCGTGAGAAACCTGTATACCGGTATGGGTAGACTGACCATGCGTCAGGTATTAGAGTCCAAAATTTCCTCCTCCTCTGAAAAAATGGCTAAAATTGAACACTAAAAAAAACCCCTCTCAGAGACAAATAAATGGTCAAAGCAAATGCACCAGAACTTCTAAGAGAGGCAAATCCCAGCCCCACACCGCTAGGTTCCGCTTATTCGAGTTCTCGCAGTGGCAGACAGACAGTCCCCCACTGGAACAGGCACCGAGAACACGGCATTCAAACGCCCCAAAATACCAAACGTCCATCTATCTACAATTGCAACCAGTAGGACCCGGCGATAGCGATAGCGCCACGTTCCCCACAGACGCCGAATTCCAACGGGAGCTCTAATATTCTCAGACACACTGCAGCTCGAGGTACATCAACCACGTGGACAAGAGGGAAAGGAAAGAACAGATTCACGGCAAACCTCCATCATCAATCCACTCGATTCGGTCAAGTAAATAACCCCAACCACCAACACCCCGAGCTGCCGGTATGATAAAAAAAGAGTTTGGAATCCCCTACCAGCACTAAGTGGGCTGGGACGACAGGTAGGCCAAACCCCCAGATAACCAACCCACCATCCAATCCAGCCCAGAGGGTCGGAGACGAAACCAACACCAAACACTCACCGAGGTCCCCGGTGAAACCCGGACTCGCCGCGGGCGATACAGGCGAGCATCAAAATTTCTCCCCGGTTACACTAAGGATACCGAGCACTCAAGGATTCAGGAAAACAAAGGAAACCGCCCCCCCAGCAAGTTAAAAAGCCGAGTGATATCTCATGATGCCGGAGAGTACAGTACAGAACAGCTGGGGGCAAAAATACGTTCAGATTTTGTGTTCGGGCTTACTAAAAATGTGAACGCATTTTTGCTCTCCCGCTGTACCCGATCCTATAAGTTCGTGTGATCTAAAGCGTGAAAACTCTCTTCATTTACCCCCCCTCAGCACTCCCAACAACCTAGATTTTTTTTTACTTTGCAGAAAATCATATTTAAAAGATGTTAACTCCTCGTTGTGCCTTTTAGATAGCACGAACCACATAATACTGTAGTAAGTCCATCTCCCCCTCACCACGCCTCGCATTCCCGATCCCCAGTAGAGAACGAAAACTCACGACACAACGCACCAGGACCGGACGGCAAAGCGCGTACTGCACCGTACTGCTATAGTGCATCCCCGTGGGCAGACCGAAATCGAATAAAGCCAGACTCTCGGAAAATGGCAGCGGGTAGGAGCTAGTTAGAAGTCCTTTGGCGGGAAAGGAAGGGGTGGATGCAACACGGCTGCTTTTTCACTATCATTGAAGGATGGATGGCCAAGTTCTGGTATCGTTGACGGCTTGATGGCTTGATTGGTAGGAGAGTTTGTAACTTGCCTACGTCCGACTTGGTTCCCCTATCGGCTAGGACTTGCCTCGTGGAAGGGGGGGTATGGTGTATCAATAGTGTGCAACTATTACCTGAATCAGAGACGGTCAAGATTTGTAAATGTATGGCAATAATGCTCAACACCATCGAATGCCTCGGGGAGAGAGGCTTGAGAGTTGAGTGGGATCTTATGCCTCAGGGGTTAGTTGATCGGTTCTGTATGAATTTTTACCCTAATCTCTTGCAGGTTCGCACTGAGGTTAGAGGCAACAGGTTTTATGCCTAGATCACTCTACTATACGCTTAGTATAAATAGAAATATAAGAGTCTATTGAGTTCAAAGTTAATGTTGTGAATTGGCACCAGCATCCGCTCACGATGTCCGGAAAGATTAGACTAGTCTCATATTATACCCACTTGGTGAAAAAGAACTATTTCCCACACATTACGACAAAAGGGGAAAGCAAATCTTGACTGAGAAGCACGAGTACATCTTCCCCCAAGTTGACAAAGCGGCAGAAATGCCGGCTAAATAACCCGGAGATCCTTGAGGGGGGGGGATTGCACTGAACTATCGCAGTCAGGAACCAACACCCAAACAGAATGCACAAACACGGTTTTGGAAATTGACATCCGGCCCACTTCAGGTTGCATCAGAGAGATGTTCACGTGTTGTAGTATGACATATATGAGAGAGTTTTTTATGTATTTAAGGGACCTGCTCATCCCGCTTGGAGAGAATATAGAAACTAATACTTATATATCTGGTATACTTCTGTCTCGCATTCCTCGCGATATTACAATTCACAGGTGATTCGGGGCATCGAGTGACAGTGCATGACGTAGAATTTGCCTTGTACAAACGGTATGGGGCAGCAAATAGATAAAATATTGATGCAGGAAGTTTGACAGGTGGAAAAGAGACTATGCATGTGATGGAAGACCAATAAAGACCTTGATAAAAGTTATTTAAAGAGAAGGAATAACAGTAGTAAGGAAGCAGGAAATGGTTGGATGGTTGTTTCCTTATGGGGGATTGCAGAGAATAGTTTCATCTGCGGTTTTTGGTAGAAAGTTTCGGAAAGGAAGAAGCTCATGTAGTGATGAGGAGAATTTCCTTTGTGCTATCTATTTAGATTTGTCTTTTCCACCGATGTGGTAAGAGTAGAGTAAGGCATCATTTTTCCTCAGATTAATACCATTGAAGTTTACCATTTACCCCCGCCGTGCACGATAGTCTTGCCAACATAAAAAATAAAAAAGTTGGCTGGTTCCCTCGTGCAGGGTGGCGAGCACTCTCAAGAGTGTAGAGTTGATATTTAGATAGAGAGGCATGCGATGGCACATTGCACCATCTGAGACGGGAATCGACAGGCTGGCGCTTCGTGTGTGCAGAGTACTGTAGCCATCATGTGTATTAGAAACTAGGAGGAGCGTGCAAACTGATACCATCCAGGCTGTACCGTATCATACAGTACAAGTACAAGTCTGGTAACTGTTTTTAAGGTTGGCTAGGCTGAAATGTGGGAAAGCGGCTTTCCCAACTAAAGATAGGGCTACACTGGATTACACAGTATAATATATGTATAGAATAGCATAATATTACTTTGGAGACTCCTGAAATGGAGGATTATTTTATTAGAGAAGCTGAATAATATCATATAAATCTTTGTAGAGTTATAAGTATCATACTGGTGTATAGTATACACGTAGGTATTATCCTAAGTAATAGTATGTGACTACAACTTGGCATGTCCAGAATTTTGTATATATAGAGGTCCATCTCACCTCCTAGAGATCAAAGTATTTCTAACCTTTTCAACCAATATCATACCATCTTGCTCTACACCTTATCTCTATTCCTCTTATCAACTCTATCACAGCTGTCTGATTTTTCTCCTCTATTGGT